AACAGTTCTAAAAAAAGAAAAAAAAAAAGAACTAGAGTCGTTGAGAATTTATCAGATACCGATGATGATGAAGAATTGGAACGAAACGATGATGATGAATCGGAATGAAGTGATGATGAAAAATCGGAATGAAATGATGATGGTAAATCAGAATGAAACAATGATGAAGAATCGGAACAAAACGATGATGATGAATCAGAACGAAATGATGATAATGAAAACGATAATGAAACTGATAATAAGCCGATTAATGGACCGAAAAGACGAAAACGCCACAATAAGTTTCGTGATGTAAATCTTGAACAACCTAATAAACTGGAACCAGTTCAACTTGAAGATAAAGTACCAAGCGATGATGATGGAACTTCTACTACAGATGAGGACGATATTACGATTGAAGAATTTACCGCTCCCATCAGACCATGAATATTTTGACATGAACATTAATTTTAATGATTCGTGGATACTTCTGTGGATATTCAAATACCAAGCGAGATTTCATGTTCTGGATGTTGCTATTGAATCATTTATTAAGTTTTTCAGGATGGTATTATTGGATACCGATCGAACATGTTTTGAAATTTCCCTATAAGTTTTTATATGGCAAAAAAACTTTTAGGAATTAATAAACGTGCGGTATGTCCTGAATGCAACACTCTGTATAAAATATCAGAAATTTTGCCAGGAAATCCATAAAATGAGACAAATACTGGATTCCAATGCTCCTAACCATCCTATACGTAATAAAAGGCGGATATGTAGAACAGAATTAACTAATAAAGTCCCGGTAGTTAATGGATTTGTCTGAAGATCCAGAATGTTATATCCGATACCATCTTTGAAAAAGCAATTGACTGTGATGTATCAACGCTCAGGCTTTGAAGAATCACTTCAGAAATGGACAAATCAGAGAAATAAACCAGGCTTATACACCGATATTTACGATGGAGATGTATGGAAAAGCTTTCCATCTTCCTTAAACAACCCGGATACTCGATTTTTTACAAATGAGACGGCCGATTCTAATCTTGGGATCATGATTAATTTAGACTGGTTCCAGCCATTTAATTTGTCAGCTTACAGTTTTGGTGTTATCTATGGGGTCATATGTAATCTTCCCCGTGATATTAGATTTAAACAAGAAAACATGCTATATCTTGGACTTCTCCCAGGACCGGAAGAAATAAAATTACACAAGATTAATCATTTTCTTAGTCCAATTGTCGACGAATTGTTAGAATTCTGGGATGGCGTCGATCTACCATCTGGTAAAAAAATTCGGATGGCCGTAATTTGCTGCAGCAATGACATACCGGCTGCTAGAAAATTATGTGGACATATTTCGGCACTGGTCGATTGTCATCGATGCTACAAAACAGCCAATAGTAGCGGAAGAAGGTTTAATTTTGGTGGGTTTGACGATATAGATGATTGGTACATTTCCAGAGATCCAAATGAGCATCAACGAAATGCCGAACTTTGGAGACAGTGCAAAACTCAGGAAGAAAGAAAAAAACATGTTTCTGACACTCACGTGTGGTGGTTGGAAATGCTAAGATTGCCTTATTTCAACCCGATAAGACATCTTATTGTCGATTTAATGCACTGTTTATTCCTGGGGATTGCTCATTGGATCGTAAAGAAATTATGGATAGATAGCGGAAAAATCACTAAAAAGGACCTTGAATTAATGGAAAGAAGAGCAAAAGCTCTTAAAGTACTAGCAGATATCAGAAGGATTCTGTATAAAATAGCAACCGGAGAAGGGTTTTCTGGATTTACGGCCGATCAATGGAAATCGTTTATTTTAATTTACGTGACTCCATTGATGTGAGATCTCCTAGATACTTCTGATCGTGAAATATTAGCAAATTTTGTAAGAGCTTGCTCTTTGCTTGTCTGTCGAATTATCGCCACCAATGCATTGTGCGAAGCTCATAGCCGATTGCTTCAAGTAGCTCGTTTAATTGAAACGTATTATGGAAAAGAGATGATAACTCCAAACATCCATTTATCACTCCATATTGTCGATTGTTGCTATGATTATGGCCCATTATATTCTTTCTGGTGTTACTCATTTGAAAGAATGAACGGATTATTAGGTAAATATACAGTGACACCTCTCTAAGTGCACCCCCTTGGGACCATAGTAAAAAAATAGTAGAATGTGCACTTGGAGAGGGTGTGCATTTATAGAGAGTAAAATATTAAGAGCTCTTATAAGTTGGGACCAGGCCCACCGTGCACTTAAAGAGAATTTATATAGAGGGTGCACTTATAGAGGTGTCACTGTATATATAAATCAGTATAAGTTATCGGTATAAGTTAAATTTAATAAATGGTATAAATGAATTAATTTATTTATCATCTTGCTGTAGGTTCTTTTCCAAATAGTAAGCGAGCTATTGAACTAGAATTGATGCGAATCATCACGCAAAATTCACGGCTAAATTGCCTAATATCCGCCCAATCGGATAATCCAAAATTGATGGAAGCATTATCTCTGGTACAAAATAGGCCAACTACTAGAAGTTTAGCGGCTTACGATGGGTTCGATTTTGCTGAACTTTACCGATTTATGCGAACCTTTCATCAAAATATTGACGTTACAATTACCAGTTGTGAAGAATTTTCCGGAGAAATGATTACCCAAAAAAGCAAGTATCGTTACCAGATACTATATATGAACTTCTGATAAAATATTACAATGATACATACAATAGGGATTTTGTATCAATTGCCGAATTTGTTTCAAATAATTTAACATCAAGCAATTCTGAAAATCAACCAATCGTTGTATCGCCCAATGTGTCTCAATTCGGTCGTATTCAGATTGCTACTGAAATCTTTGGATCTGCACTTGCACCTCGATATCAAAGAAGTTCATATATTACAAGCAAGTTTATACAAGATGATGAATCTGTCAATATTTTTCCCGGACAAGTGCAGTTTTATTTTGAGCACACAGTTCCGCTTCCAACCGGTATAAAGACACATCGACTTGCTTTTATAAAATGGTATATGTGGGTACCGAGGGAAAAAACAAGATTTCATTGCAGAATCGACAATCAGGATGATAAAAGCTGTAATATTGAATTGTGGAAAGATTATTTTCACGAATTATCAAGAGATTGTATTATACCGATTCATAATATATATAGCCGATTTTTACCTTGTAAATTTACAATAGGCAACCGAAAACTGATTACTTACATGGCAGTCATACCTATCAATAGACAATTTCATTTATAATAATGTTATGATTAGTTTTAAATCGGTAAATTCATATTTCTAGTAATACTGATTAATAAATTTAGTTTTAATATAATTAAAACATTGTTTATAAATTTATAAATTATAAAATTGGTAATTTTAAATTTAAACAGTACAATAGAAATCAATCGGTAAATTTAAACTAAATAATAGTTATCAATCGGGTAATAACCTGATTAGTACCCGATCGAAAGTTTACACCAATTTCTAACTATTGAACAAATCAAGTGACTATTTATAAAAAAGTGACCAATCGGGATGGTACCCGATTGGTCAGCTTTCTACCTGTGGTATGATCTGCAAAGAATTTTATATATGATTTTTACTTTAGGCCTGGGGTGACCTATCTTATAAGTAAGCAGGGTCCTCTTACTGTCCTGATAGTCACTGCTATTACTACTGGGGGATTTACAACTGTGGTGAGCTGATATGATAATCATGGCCTGTAATGGGCTTTAAGTGAGACTATACTAGTAACTCTAATATTGCAGTACCTCTAGACACAGGTCAAAAAGTAAAAAATCAGGTATCAATCAGTCACCAATCAGCTATATGATTGGTAACCGATTGGTGACTGATTGATGCCTGATTTTTCACTTTTTGACCTGTATAGGTTAACCATCATGAAAGGATTTCTAGATGTTTGCTCCATTATATCTGCCATATGTGGGCAGTAGTTCACTATTAATAGCACTAGTAGGTAGTACCACTATAAATAACCCTGCTACTACTGGACAATTTAGAAGGGTATAATTTGGATATGTTCTTGCATAGTGTAGTATAAGGTTGCTTGCTGAAACCTAGGGGTTTAGGCAAGATGGCATTTCGCCGAAAAGTGAAATTCTGCCGAAATTATATTAAAGTTATATTAAAAAACTGGCGAAACTTTGGAGAAAGGCGAAACTGCCAAAACTTATTATAAATGCCGAAACTGCCAAAACTTTGCCAAAACTATAATAAATCTATAGTAAAATTTTGATGAAACTAATCGTAGGATTTTAAAGAGGTTTAGACAAGTAACCTTAGTGTAGTATATAGAGGGTAGAGGGGATGATATCCCACTCATTACCTAATAAGTGTGAGTTGTTAGGATTTACAAGTTGACATCAGTCTTGGTACTTGTATAATCACTTAAGTGGTTGAGAACCTTTACCATATTGTTTATGTGCCTAGCCATGAGAATACTTCTAAAACATAAAAAAAAAAATATATTATTAAGCAGTATTAAATCATTTTATTTAAATATATATTAAATTTGGTTAAATTTTAATTATATAATTTATTTTTCCACTTATTGCTATTTAATTATTTAAAAATATATATAATATGCTTATTCAAAAGTATTGCTAAATAGTACAGTAAAAATAACTAATAATCCTGATTTAAAAGAATTGAGAAAAAGTAAATTTGATAACAATTACCTTACATTTAGTAATAAAAATGATATCTAATTTTATTTTGCAAGAAATTTAAAAATTGTTCATCTTTTAATGTATTTATTTCAGTTTAATAATATACCATAAATTCTAATGATAATGGATAAGTTTAAAATAGAATCAAATAATTATTTCAATAAAAAGAATTTTACACAATTTTGAGATATAATAGGTTACAACCAATATTATATTAACTAAAAAAAAATGGTATTATAGTAAAATCAATTGGTAATGTTGCATCGCAAAATTTATAATATTATTTTATTTATGTAAACTATATTAAATCATTTTTTATTCTAAATCAGTTATACCAGCCAATTTTCTAGCCTCTTCAAGAGCATTAATAAAACTTTCATTTTTTGGTTCAAACTCCAATCCAATCTCAAAAGCATGTACGGCTTCTTCATATCTTTTCATACCCATCAAAGCTTTACCTTTTCTAAAATAGGCCTTAGAATAATCCGGCTTAATTCTAATACCCCATTCAGCGTCAACATAAGCATTAACCCACTGTTCCAAAAAAATGTAAGATAAGCTTCTATTACTTAAACAAACCGAAACTTCTTGTTCTGTTGATTCGTGCGGTTCCCAAAATGGTCTTTGAAATGCCATCTCTATGGCCGAACTATATAATTTAATAGCTTCGGAATAATTTTGTGATTTATGATAAGTATTTCCTTCTTCTTTCAATTTAGTAATTTGATTTGAAAGATTTTGATTAATATAATTTGGTGGTGGAATGTTACCCTTTATTGGAATTAAACTTTTGTGTAAAGTATTTAGTGGTTTGAAATCGTAGTCACAATCTTTACATGTTTCTAGGCGGTGTTGACGACAATAAACATTGTCTCCATCAACAATCAAATCTAATAAATTATAACTCATGTTTAAGTAGTAAAAGAAAACTTATATGAATAGGAGCTATATTGACTGTGAAGGAAGGAAAGAACACCAATAATTTATACATGCGAGTCAAGTCAAAATGTGATGTCACGTGAATTCTAGAACGTAATAGTTTAGATTACTACGGCTCAAATGTTCAAACTTCTACTTCTTAGTAACAATAAAATCCTCAAATAAATTATTTAAAGCACTAATGCTACCGATTACAAACCCAATTAACCCCACAATTATAACAAATACGTTCCATATCAACGTCAAATACGACATTCTCTCCCAGCCAAACAATTTTAGGTAAAATAACACAGGCAACACAAATACAAAAAGACAAGTTGTCAACGCGCCCAATAAGGCCATGATATCGCCAAAGCAAGGTACGAGTATAGCAATTCCAACGGATAGTAAAATCAAAAATAAACGAAATACGGTGCGTAATAAAAATTCAACTATTTTTGAGTGATGTTCGCGTGTAATATTTAAGAATTTCTCAGCCTCCATCGCAAAAGATGTCATAAGAATAGGTATTGTAAAAAGCACGTGAATAACAATTAAAATGGATGCGGATGTTAAAAGAAGTCCTATATAGTGAATGGATAATTAAAGTTCATTTATTAATATGATAGTTTGGATATTTCAATTTACAAATTGCATTTTTTACCTTCAGGCAAAACTTTCAAAATTGGGTTTACTGTTGTATCGCCATAGGCTAAATACCCAAAGAATGCAACCAGGAAATACATGATTGCACATGTACATATTGCTGCAGTAACAACCCTATTCCAATGACGCGGCTTTTGCATACTTTCTTCGATATGCGGAAAAACGTTATTTCCTCCATAGGAAAACGAAATAGTAGCTAAAGAGGTTGGAATTCCCGACAAATCTAATATTTTATAGGATGGTGGATCTGTAGAATCGCGCCAATGCTCAAATGAAAGAATCACGATAGCAATAATACAAAATAAAGTCGCAAATGCGCCAAATATACTAATAAAGACAGTTTATAAGCTATTATTACCATCATTTTAAGTAAAATAAAATCGTTTTTTGCACATCAGTCCTTTACCTTATGATCGCAACCTCTTTTAGTGTTTTTGCAAAAATGAAAGGAACACTAACAAAGGCTGCACAAATACATGTCCAAATTTTGATTCCCAAATCGGTATCATAATGATGACTCGCCAATTCGTTAAGATTTTCCGCAGCAAGGATGAAGTACAATACTGAAACACCAATAAGAGTGACGTTATGAAAGAATTCAACTAAATATTTTCCAAAAGTTCCAAAAGCATCTTGCCCTATTTCCCCATATGTTGACAAGCGGGATTTACTAATGAAAATTTAAATGGTTGCGTTGAGGAATTGGCGATATTATATGCGTCATTGCAACGGGACATACGTACCCGTTATGGTAAAGGCACTTGATGATGATGATACTTGTGTATAGAGCTATCAACATTGAAACTATAATAATTCCTAAAGCGATCCAGCCACCTTTATTGAGAGTCTCAGGTAAGCCTAAAACTCCTATTCCGGCCATCAGGCAGCTAAATACAGTAAATTATTAAATGATTTAAAGTTCCAACTATAGGTAAATTATTCTCAAATCCAACTCACGTGATATTTATATATGCACCAAAACTTGTCCCTTTGGTATTATTAGGTCTGTCTTTATTTTGCAATTCATAAACAAGAAGCTCTTCATCGCCTAACAATGGAGCTTCTGAGTCAGAGCTTGACCGGGTTGAATAAATTGAATCACTATAAAACGAGTCATGTTCTTCGGCCATTCCTTTTTTTTTTGTTAAAAAATTTGAACAAGAAAAAAGTTGAATCGGATAATGGTATATTTTTATATAATATGTTCAACCTTATATCACCTATCACAATCTAAAAATTTTTTGTGCAGAACAATGGATTTTATACAAAGAAATTTGCATGCACAGAAATTAATTGAGATTCTTTCACTTTTTTCATCTTTTTACGTAGCATGTATCAATTTTCATTGTACTACCTTCGTATTGTGATGTCATATACTTTTGATAATGAGATCTCCGCTCTTATTGTCTCCGATTGTAAAAATCATTTTAGAAACGATCGGCAAAGTAGGAAAGCGACTATACCATTTTAAAAATATAATGTAGGCCAGAATTATTGTGCTAGTTACTCTAAATGTCGGATCATTTGTCACCAATTTATGTGAAACATATGGATTATATATTTGGATTATAAACCAAAAATCGCGAACATAGTTTTGATTTTCGATCTAATACTAAAATGTTTTCAGTTACAAAAGATTTCATGAATAAAGAGGCACCTCCAAATTATGTTGCCGGCTTGGGTAGAGGGTTAGTTATCCACGATCTAAACGTCGTTGCTACAAAAGTATCTAACGTTCTTTTTTTTATAGTGCAACAGGTTTCACAACACGATCTGATATCGGTCCTGCTAGGGAAGGGCCTGCTGACTTCAGGTACTTGTTTTTTTTTGGTTTTTTTTTTATTTTATACTTTTTAAATTAATAATATCACAATTGTCGCAAGATCAGACCCAAAACTGGGTTATGTTTAGAGAGCGAAAAATATAAAGAAAAATAATTATTGTGGTATGTAATTTATTAAACAAGAATGAGACTTTTTCTAATTCAAATATTATTATTTAATTACAATTTTTATATTAGTGATGCTTTACAAAAGAAAGCACAACAGGAAGATGATGATGACGACGAACGTTTTCAAGATCCAGATAATGAAACTGGACTTTTTGCTTCAGCTCCTTATGAAGAAGATGACGAAGAAGCTGATAAAATTTATGAAGCCATTGATCAAAAAATGGATGAAAGAAGAAAAGCTAGACGTGAAGCTCGCGAAAAGGAAGAATTGGAAAAATATCGTGCTGAACGTCCAAAAATTCAACAACAATTTGCAGATCTTAAACGTGGTCTCGCTATTGTTTCTGATGATGAATGGGCAAATCTTCCTGATGTTGGTGATCTTGTTGGAAAAAACCGAAAGAAAACTAATCTACGAGAAAGATATTATGCAGTACCCGACTCGTTACTGGAAAAGGCTAGAGAAGAGAATAAATACGTTACTGCTTTGGATGCACAACAGCAAGTATGAAATTTGTAATTTTTTTTTTTAAAAAAAATATATATATATATTCACAAATGAAATAATTTACTTATATTTTTTAGAAATTTGGGGGATTTCAAACACCTGCACCAGATTCTGGAATGATGACAAACTTTATAGAAATTGGTCAAGCAAGAGATAAAGTATTAAGTTTGAAATTAGATCAAATTTCCGATTCTGTTAGCGGGCAGACTACAGTCGATCCAAAGGGATATTTGACAGATTTAAATAGTGTGGTTATTAAAAGTGATGCCGAGATAGGGTAACTTTCGAAGTGTTTATTGAATATAATTAATAATTTATTGTTGTCTTTGAATCATATTAACATTGAACTATTGTTTTTTTAGCGATATCAAAAAAGCTCGATTGTTGCTTAACTCGGTTATTTCAACTAATCCAAAACATGCTCCAGGTTGGATTGCGGCAGCTCGTTTAGAAGAAGTTGCCGGTAAATTAGCTCAAGCAAGAACAATTATTGCTAAAGGATGTGAAGAATGTCCAAAAAATGAAGATGTTTGGTTAGAAGCAGCTAGATTAAATAATGCTGACAATGGAAGAACAATATTGGCTAATGCTGTTAGACATCTTCCACAGTCGGTTAAAATTTGGCTACAATCTGTGAAATTAGAAACTGATATCAAAGCTCAAAAAAAGGTTTTAAGAAGAGGTAAATATTTAATTTTTTTTTTTAACTAAAGTGTCAAATTAACAGTTTTATATTTTACTTCATGTAGCTTTGGAATATGTACCCAATTCCGTGAAACTTTGGAAAGCGGCAGTTAATATGGAAGAAAATCCTTCAGATGCACGTATACTATTAGCACGCGCAACTGAATTAGTTCCCCTTTCTGTTGATTTATGGCTTGCTCTTGCCCGACTTGAGAGTTATGAAAATGCCAAAAAAGTTCTTAATAAAGCACGTGGCCAAATTCCTACTTCACATGAAATCTGGATAGCAGCCGCTCGTCTTGAAGAACAACAAGGTAATGAAAAAATGACTGATAGAATTATTGCCAAAGCTGTTACAGTACTTTCGGAAAAGGGAAGTGTGTTAGGACGTGATCAGTGGCTGCAAGAAGCAGAAAAATGTGAAAGGGAAGGTAGTGTTGGGACTTGTCAAGCCATAGTAAGAAATACGATTGGAATGGGAATTGAAGAGCAAGATAAGAAAACAATATGGTTAGAAGATGCGGAAAGTTGTATTTTACATGGTTCTATTGAAACAGCTCGCGCGATATTTGCGCAAGCTCTGAAGACTTACCCTGGTAAAAAATCAATATGGCGTAAAGCAGCTTTCTTGGAAAAATCTCATGGAACTAGAGATTCTTTGGAAGAATTATTGCAACGTGCAGTTAGATTTTGTCCTCAAGCTGAAGTACTTTGGCTTATGGGAGCTAAAGAAAAATGGCTTGCCGGCGATGTTAATGGAGCACGATTTATCTTAACAGAAGCGTTCAAAGCTAATCCAAATAGTGAACAAATTTGGTTAGCAGCAGTTAAATTGGAAGCAGAAAATGGAGAATATGAACGTGCAAGAATGTTATTACATAAAGCACGAGGTAAGGCTGATACAGAAAAAGTGTGGATGAAATCGATAGTATTAGAACGTCAACTTAAAAAGATTACGGAAGCTTTAGCTATGTTAGACGAGGCTTTGGATAAATATCCTACATTTGACAAGTTATGGATGATTAAAGGTCAGATTGAAGATGAAAAAGGTGATCTACCTGCAGCTAGGGCTACTTATGCTAGAGCTTTAAAAAATTGCCCAAAATCTGTGCCTTTGTGGATATTGGCTTCTCGATTAGAAGAAAAAGCATGCTTTTTAATTAAAGCTAGGGCTACTCTTGAAAGAGGTCGTTTATTAAATCCAAAAACACCTGAATTATGGTAATAATTTATCCTTGTTTATTTATTTATATAAAAAAACAATATGAATGTATTAATTATAAATTTTTTTGTACAGGTGTGAAGCAGTTCGTGTTGAATTGAGAGGTAATAATATCAATATGGCAAAAGCTTTATTAGCAAAAGGTAACCATAATTACATTATTGACGTGTATTCTTTATTTGGTCATATATATATATTAAAAAACCACTTCATATTTTAGCACTACAGGAATGTCCTAATTCGGGATTATTATGGTCAGAGGCAATATTTATGGAACCTCGTCCACAACGTAAAACCAAATCTGTTGATGCACTTAAAAAATGCGATAATGATCCTATTATTATCATGACAATAGCAAGGTTATTTTGGGCTGAACGTAAAGTTGATAAAGGCAGAACATGGTTTGAAAAAGCAGTAAAAGTTGACCCAGATCGAGGAGATTCATGGGCATGGTTCTATAAATTTGAATGTCAACACGGAACAGAGGTATTTATTAAATATTAAATTTGACTTCATAGGCTAAATTGTTACTAATATATATAAATATTATTTAACAGCAACAACAACAAGACGTAATTACAAGATGTGTAACTGCTGAACCTCACCATGGCGAACAGTGGCAGATTGTTGCAAAAGATATGAAAAATGTTGGTAAGAGTATTGAAGAAATACTTAAACTAGTTTCTAATGTTCTTTCATAATCTAAGATTTTTATTCAGCTGAAGTCCAATGATGACTTTATAAAGTATTGTACCAATTTTTTTAATTTCATTATTATACTATAAGTTAATGATGGCGACCTTCCTATTTATTAAAATTGTAGTTAGCAATTTAAATAGTTTAGGAAAACATTGAATAATATTAGGATATTACTGGATTTTCTCCAAATAATAGTGGAGGAATATTTCTTTCCCATTTTGTACCCCCCGGTGCAGTTGGATCTATTTAAAATAAATAAATAAAATTTTTTGGATTAAAATTAGTCTTTTTTTTTTTAAAAAAAAAAAAAAATTTACATTTGTAAGGATCAGGATGACTATTTTCTTCAAGTTCTTTTTCGGCAGCAAGTATAATTTTACGTAACTCTTGTGTAGAAGTAACGTTTCTATTTGCTTCAAAACGAGCGCGTATTTCTAAAGCCACAGGACGCCATAATACACGATCTACATACCAATTTAAAGCAGTTTTTAGAGAGCGTCTATATAAAGCTGATATTTCAGACATTTTTTTAATTACCTTTGAAAACGATAATCGAGGATTTTTATAGGTTGTATTACAGGAATCACATGAACAGTGAATCTTTTTTTTTTAAAACTTTAAAATAAATTTTATTCCTCATTTTACTGAATTACGGTTTAATTAATTACAATGCCAGATAGAGATAAGAATACATTACATATAAATATAAATACAGGAGGAGTATTTGAGGAATCACCAATAAGATCGTATATATTAAGATATTTTAAAGGAATTTCTCAACCGAGAGTATTACTACTTATTGCATTCATATTTTTATTTGTTTTTTTTTACGGTAAAAATGAGGAAAGCATCGGTAAAAATGATATTGGTAAAATAGAAACAATACAAGAAAGTGACATTTTAACTAAGATCATACCAACAGAAGGAGATGGAGAATGTACAGCTATATTATTGAATTGGAATAGATTGGACAATATTAAAATTATCGTTAAAAATTTATGTCAATATTCTATGTTTAAAGAAATTTTTATATGGAACAATAATGTTGATTTGCATTTATCAGATACAGTTAAGTATTATCTCTAATATTATTTTTATTATCATCTTTCTTTGCAAAATAACTTATATAACATATACCGTAATATTTTTTTTTTGTTAGATGTTTGTTGATACGCACTGTAATAAAATAAGATATTATAATTCACCAGGAAATATGTATTTTATAGCGAGATACTTAGCGTGTTCAATGGCGGCAACAAAATATTGTTATTTTCAAGATGATGATTGGATGATTAAACATTTAAGATCCATGTATAGTAACTTTCTAAGATTTCCAAATTTAATTCATACTGATACAAATGCTGATGTTTATTCTTCAACTAATTGGAAATGGTGTTTTTTCGATGATGGTATAGTATTATAATTGGATATTTTATTTTATTATTTAAAAATATTAATATGAAATTCATTAAATTTATAGACATTGATTTACATTCATGTTATTCATGGGTTGGTACTGGGGCATTCACTTCTAGAGAAAATGTATTGAAATTTTTAAAAATGACAAGTAAAACGGAAATGAGTTCATTAGAATTTATTTATGGTGATATGTATTTTACTACATATTTGAACCAAGTACCATATCAATTAGAGAACTCTTTAATTGAATTACCACAAGAAAATGGTTTTAGTTTAACGGGTAAAGATAGAATGCTTAATAAATTATATATGCATAAAGCATTAATTAGGTTGTATAATTATTTATCATTACTTAAGAGTAAGAATAATAATAATCCGTCAACACAAATGATTGAGGACACAAAAGAATTTTCACCAACTCTTTATGAAAGAGATGTTAGATCGCCTTGTCATAATGATAAATGTTTGTTCTTAACGAATAAACATAGTTTTCCAAATGTAAAATTATTCAAATATAAACCTTATATTAATATTAGTGAAAGTGAAAGATTACATTCTAGTTTCTTTAATACCCAACATTTCATTTCTTATCCTTATTCCCATGCTGTTGATAATGATAACTCTACTGCTTGGATTTCTCAAGATGGTATAGTATCTTGACATATATATACACTCACAATAATTGGAGTAATAATTAAAAACGAGATTAACAAAAATTTTTTTTTTTTTAATAGTTATTAGAAAAGATGATTATATTGGATTAGATTTATTATTACCTATGCCTGTACCACTTACTTTTAATTTAATTATTGATCATAAGAGTGATTATTTTAATCATTTGTCTATACAAATTTCTCACGATGGTTCAGCTTGGGTAAGTATAAATAATATAATATTTAGTTTTATAATGAAAATATTAACAATTATTATAATTATATAGATTCAATTATCACCATCACCAAAATTAGATATATCCTCATTATCATCAACAAAAAATAATTTGTTATCATGCAAATTTCGTATACGTGAAACAGGTTTTAGATTCTTAAAATTAGTTAGTACAAGAGATTGGAATTTTACCTTTTCTATTTATGATTTTGCTTTTGATGGTGTGGATAATGAAGTTATTGACGATACTGTTAATAATATATTGGGAAATAATGATAATGATTCCGGCGATTAGAAAGAACTAATAGCACTTAGATCATTTTATATTTTATTATATTTAAATCATGTACTAAATAATTTTTAATTACAATTAATCCAATTCTCGAGATTTCACGTGAGCGGAAATGATTCAATTGGTTGTCACTATGTTTTTTTTATCGCCGTTTTCAAAATGGTGCGATCTTCAATCATGTGGTGTCGTAATAAAAATTCTCAAATCTTTTGAATTTTTGCGAACTTTCTTAAATTTAAGTCCTCTATTTACTAAAGTCTAAGTTTTGTAAGTGTAAAGCAATTTTCTTCCTTCGAATTTACAAAAAGAAGTTCTCTTACTAAACGAATTTTCACGATCTCTTGCGAACTCTCATAGTTAACGCTGCGAATTCCTTTACAAGAAAATGTGAGTACTCTAGTTTCCTTTAGTTTATAAGTATCTAGATTTGAATTTTTAAATAGGTAGAAAGTTTTGCAATTGTTTGTTGTCACGTGATTAAAATTGGTGTTTATGTTACACGAATTTGAATTTTTTTGCGGTGCTATTTTTGAAGATCGCAAACGGCGATAATTCATGTGCAATGCTATATTTCATTTCTAAAAAGAAAAATGCCTGGAGATATTGAAGACGCTCTTTCGAGCGTATTTCTAAATCCATCAACTCCAAGTTATATGCCTGAAGATTCTTATTTTACAAGCGTAAATCCGGAAGAAACTTACGCGCATTTATTAAATGATAGCTCTGACAAAAACGAAAATAATGTTTCAGAGGCAGAAAAATGGGAATTTGTACGCGTTTTTTTTTTCAAACCTATTTTTACTGAATAACTTATTGACCTCTTTTTTTTTATAGATTGATTCATGGTTAAAAAGCCATTTTAAAGATAAACGTGTACCACTTTTTGAGAAAAATTCTGCTGTTGCTTCAGCTTTATATGAAATGGCACTTTTTAACAAACAGCAAGATACCATGACTGAAATTATAATTAAAAGACAAAAAATTCAAGCAATGGAATATCGTAGTGAAGGTTAATATATAATTACGGCATTTTACATGATTTTTTTTATATAATTCGAAATATTTAACACGTCTTTTTTCTAAAAAAAAAAAAGCTAAACGTATAAAAGATATTTTAGAAACAATGAGATTATCGAAAGATGATTTATCCAAGAATGGTGTACATTCACTAAAAACATTGACTTCTTTGGCCATAATTTTAGGTTTGGCCAATACTGAACAGAGCAGGTAATTATATAAAAATTTACGTATTAGTATATATTTGAGTTTTAATTCAGTAATTTTAATTTGACAATAAAATAAAATTCTCTAGTTATCTTTCAGCATTGGCGCAATTGAATCTGGATATTTTACGCGCAGAACGTAATAATAACGCCATTGTTGGCATCATAGAATCTATGGAAACACGAATACAAAAAGCTAAATCAAAAAATGAAAAATTGGACAAGTTCGTTATTATTTTTACTTTCTTGCTGTTTATTTAAAATTTTTTCAATCAAATTAAGCTAATAAATGTGTGCGTATTTCTTTAGACTTTTATATAATTTACGTAAGAGCTGGGATTCGAAAGAAGAAGAAGAACTTCGAAAATGGGAAAAGAATATGGATTTGTTATTACAGAAAGGAAAAGAGTATCAAGATAGAATAATGAAATTAGAGGTAATTACAAATATGCAAACTAATTTTACAATTAAAATATTTCCTAATCTCATATAAATTAAAGAGAAAATATAATGAGTTGAACGTAGAAGAAGGCGGTTTACGATTTAAAGTACTGAAAAAAAAAGAGGATTATATAAATTATTTGGAACAGGAAATCGGGACGAAAAAAGCAAAATTAAAAACATATCAAATCATGCCACCGGTAATTATTTGTTAGAATTTTATTCTTTTTTATCATTTTATTTACTTACATAATTTAACTATCTAGGACATTATATTAGCTAAATTAAAAACGGATGAGGCTAAACAAAAACTGGCAAGTTAAAATGTATAATTACTATTTTTATGTTATTTTATAAACTAATTTTTACATTAAATTTCTATTGACGATATAAAGGATGAGTTGAAAGAGCTTCATACCGAATTAATATATAAGATGGCCGATAATTTTCAATAGAGAAATGCTGATATTGGTTTTGTATTTCGGTGTTGGTTTTGCACGAAATGATAAATCTTCCTTTTCTCATTTATTTAATTTAGTAATTTTTTCGCGAAAAGATTGTTGATATTTTTCTCCTCTTATATCAGTCCTTAGTTTAAATAAATGGTTTAGTTACAGTAGTCATGATATTTTGTACGCCCATCAGTAGATCAATTGGGTTACAATATTCTATTTTCAAAAAATCTATAATACTTTGTACAAGTGGATCAATTTTAAATCTTTCCACTCATCTTCAGTCAATTGAGATTTTTTATAAGGAATTTTTATTTTTATTTCCTTGACCCACTTATCAAAATCAATGTTAGTGCAATTTGCATCACCAAGTTGTTCTTTAAGATCTGGAAAAGTGATGATTAAAGTGGACGGCTTTGTGTTTACGCGTATAAATGACCAGATGGCCTGTTGGATTGGTAGGGAGTGAAAGAACTGGAATACATTATCTGAAAAAAAAAACAAACGAATTAAATTTTATTCAAAGATAATTAAGATATAGGACAACAGAATAAATACTCATTATAATTATATCGGCTGTTTGAAGAAGTTGTGGATGATTCATTATATCATCCTGAATTATCTATCAAATAAAAAAAGTGAATATATTGTATATACGTTGTAATGAAAAATAAACGGTTCCATTTACGGTACCTCTACACGATCACTCATGTTGTATTCTTGAATTATCTCTTTTTGCAAATCGGCAAAAAATTGGTTTAACTCTATACCAATAAGTTTTTTTGTTGAACTGAATAAATATCCCTATTTTAAGTTAATTTCTTTAGAACTTTTGAAAAGAATGATAATTAATTGTATGCACGTTTTTCATACCACATAGAGAACGCTTCCTAATCTTGATCCAATATCTAACACAATTTTATCATTAATCTCTATTCCATTTAGTACATGTTCAAAGATATAACGTAATTGCAACGTTGAAGTAGAATGTGAAATAAAATTTAAAGATTCGATATTTTTTGAGCCACAATCATTACAAAAATAATTTTTTAATTGACCATTAAGGCCCAATTCTTCTACGTCTTTATCACTGTATAAAAATGCATCCACATTAATTGTAGTTTCTTTTGTATATCCTTCATACTATTATTATAAAGTTTACTTATTGTAATTAAGTATATTCAGAAATAAAGCAAATTTTGAGGATGAAAAAAAAATGAAATCTTAACTTCAATTGTTTTTGGTATGACGATATTTTCATTTGGTGCTTCAGCTGTTATTGATAATTTATTACGTAATTTATCTTTAATATTTTCAAGAATTAAGGCATTATTTATATTATACTTGGTAAACCTGTTTGAAAAATCATCAATGTCTTTAATTTCTTTATCTATGCGAATTACGAGATAAAGATTAGTAATATATAAAAAAAATATATTATCAAGTATTTTTACTTTATTACAAGTGAATTTTATTGACTGAAAATGTCATTAGAGAGCTTATTTCAATCAATCATTCACCCCATAAGTAAATAAAAAAATTCATTCTTATAAAATAAAAAAAATTTTTCAGTACCTAAAATATTTTTAGCAAATTCATTGAATTGTTTGATTTGTTCTGAAGTATCTAACGAATTAATAATTTTAAGAAATGAAGATTTGGCATTATCTAGTTTATCTTCTTGGAACTCATTTTTGTCATTCATCATTAGTTTATTGTTTTTCTCTCTTTTCTAAAAGAAATTCTGATAATCTAAAAAACGATTTGCATTTATATCTGATGAACAATGCAGTATTATTATGTGATCTGATTATTGAGTGAATCAGTTGTCCACTTTAATAATCTTTAATTCTTTCATAATAATTTTATCACTCAATTAAATTTTACCACTCTCTTTTAAATTATAAGTTTGAAATCTTGATAAACAAGTCATCCCTTGATATATGAAATAAGTCGTTATTAGAAATTAGGCATAATCATAAATTATAGGAGAATCTGGTATGATATGGAAAATCAAGACATTTACATGTCATTTATTAAAATAATAAAATATGTAAAATATGTGTAATTGTTCATGAAATTGGTATTAAATTCTCCTTTATAATAAAATTAATTTGTAAATCTTCGTTGCGTTGAAAGAGCCGTTAATTTTTTATATATAGTTTAATTTGTTAAATGATGTACGGAATTTAATTAGTAAAATTTATAATTTAAGATCGGTGACAGCACTGCAAAATTCGTTATATCGAAATTCGTTACAAAAACAACATTAGTCTCACCACATATTCAGGCTTTTTTTTTGTATGATCCAAACTTGATTAAGTGATCCAATCTGATCTGAATTTAATCTGATCCGATTTTTTTTAACTTTAGATCAGATTTACAGATTAGTCAGATCACAATTTAAATCTTAAACTAAGATATCAATTGTAAATAAAAAAAGAGGAATTGCAAAAAAATAAATCAATACTTTTCTTGATCATTGATTCACATCTCATATGATACTAAATATAGTTAAATGAAGCAACTAGTGGGTCATACTACAATTTAGACGTTTCGTAAAAACATCATATACTTTGAATTCATCATAGATCTGTGGGTATATGCATTATACCATTATTGTATAAATGAGAATTAAATTTTATATTATTATAAAGATATTTGCTATTATAAAATGCTCTATTACATAATTTTAAAAAGATCATGCTTATAGAAAATTTGACATTGAACTATTTTACTTATTATTTCGTTGACAAATGGCATATATAATAATTTTATTGAGCATAGGCCATAGGCAGTGTTATACAATAAATAAATATATTTTAATGGTGATTAAATTATTATTATTTATTAATAATATACTATTATTATCATTGTCATTGTTATTCATATTAAATTCTGACTACAAAAAATATTTGTAGGATCTAAAGTTCTAAAAAAAAAAAGAAAGAAAATTTAAATATATTGATAGATATAGAGGATATATAACAGATTTAATCACTTACTTTTTTACATTCTTCATTATTTCAATTGCAGGCTAACAAATATTTTTAAGTTAATAAAATAAGTAAAACACAATTAATTGATGAAAAAGTATTTGAGTTACCTCAGATAAAGATTCAACAAAACTTTCTTTTTTACGTTTCCCTATACCAGTAGTAAAATGTGATACAGAACCATTTGATCTTAATATCTCAACTAAAGCGACTTGATCTACTCTTCTTAATGTACCAAGTGGATCAGCGAGATTACGACAATTAAATCCGTAAGTAAAAGTTAAACTTACACCTGTTTCATACCTAATAATTGTTAGAGTTGCTTTAATTGAAAGTTTTTAATCCAAAAGTCAATATTTTAAACTTAAACTTACAGATGATCTACTCTAACAGCAATGTATGGCCTTGGACGAACATTTTGAGCTCTGCAAGTTGTCACTATAGTTTCTTTTACCTTGTCAACAAGTGCTTCAATATTTGACCAAGATGCTGAAGTATCAAGATAATCTGATATAGCATAATAATCCAAAAGAAAATCGCGAAGATAAGGTAAACCCTAATTTAAAAATCGAAACCATAAATATTACTCAATATTAAAACTACAAATAACAAGTCAATACTCCCAACGTGCACTTTACCTTTGACATGAAAAACATTCTCTCACCTAAATCATAACCAGAATTAACACCACCAAAATTTTCACCAAGATTTAAAATTCTCTTTTCATAATTTTCTATTTTACTTAAATCGTAACCATCAATTAAAATAGCAGCTAAACACATTTTACCAGTTTCTAACCCTTTAAATTTCTTCCAATAATATTTTTTTAACACTTCTTTAAATATCGTAGTAACAGTGGGTGTAGCAGTATTAAAACCATGTACTAATTGTAATCCAGTTTCATCAACTAATCTAGCACCACTTAAATTGTTAACAACTTTTTTTTGAGCGATTTCTCTTAAGAATAAAAGTCCTTGATGAAATGAGGGAAAATACATTGAAATGTAATGACGATACGGAGCTAAATAATGTAATTTAAATGTTAACTCAGTTATGACACCTAAAGTTCCTTCTGATCCAAGCAATAAATTCGTTATGTCAGGACCTGAAATAATTGGTGGTGATGATATGGAATGTCCGCTTTGTTTTATTGTACCAATTGGTGTAACAAATTTCATGTTAATTATACTATTTTCAAAATCTCCGTACATGCTTCTCCTTAATCCACTTGACCTTAAAGCGGCTAATCCACCAACTGTACTAAATTCAATTGATTCAGCATTCCATCCAAGACTATAACCTAACTTTCTTAATTCAATTTCCAAATCTTTTGCGATAGCGCCAGCTTCAACAGTTACACTCATATTTTCATTATTTAATGATAAAATTCTATTCATGTGTCTCATATCTAAAGAAACGATCATCCTTTTTTCTTCTTCGACTGGACATTCTAATGCATCAACATAATTTGATCCCCCTCCATAAGGTATACATCCAACATTAAATTTTTGTGCTGCTTTAACGATAATTTCAACTTGTTCATGACTTTCCGGCCAAATTACAGCATCAGGTAATCTGTTAAAATTACCGTATCTTAATTTATAAATTTCTATTGTACTAACCCCATGTCCATGTAATAATCTATCTTGTTCTGCAAATGAAATTATTATTCCTTGTGGTTTAATTGCATCATAAAAATCATGATTTACTTCCGGGCTATGTATTTCTACTATTGTTGGCTGTGCTAGACATATCGTTTTTAAATTTATTCTTAATGTTTGTTCTAACCATGGTCTTAATTCATGATATTCTTTTGAACTAAAATGACCAAACCTATTTCCTAATAATGAAGCTGTTCCTTTATCGTCAAATCTAAAAAACGTATCTTTGTATCCATATCCATTCCATTTTCTTTCTCTATTTGTACATACCGCTAATGTTTGACTGGGTGATAAAGTTCTCCATTCTTTATATCCTGTGCCATTCAGATGACCAGTTATATTTTCTAAACGACGAGAAGCATTTGAATAAGGATTTTCTTCCGACATTTTATAAAGTAAACTTTTCTTTTAAAGAAAGAAACATCATTTTCGAAAAAAAAAATTATATCAAGGTAACACTAGATCCTGACAGGTTTCACAATTTAATTTTATGTAGTATGTATAGTCAAAGCGTGAATCAACATAATATATTAACTTTATATACGCAATGGGGTTTATTTTTAATCATTTTTTATTACTTTCTTTCATTCTCTTTTTTTTTTCTCTTTTTATATTTTTCATTCTTGGCTAAAATAATGTTTTCTTCACATTTTCTTTTCTTTTTTTTTGATTTTTCCCGTTTCCGTTTCCCATCTTGTTTTTCTTCATCTTGTGACATATCAAGATGATTTGTACACAATGAAACCTTTTCTTTTTCAGTAGAGTCTGTGCTTTTTGATTCATTATTTATTTCCATTTTTTTTATCGGTTTATTCCAACTAAAAAAAATTCCAAATGTAAATTTTATTTTAGTTTCTTGAGATGATTGAAAAACGAATAAAGTAAACTACAATTACCCATTTAAGTCCAATGATCCAGTTGAACTTTTAACAAAATTACCATAATAAAATAATGATTTCATCTTTGGATTAGATGATAAATTTTCAGTTTTATCATCATCAAATCTATTCTTATGTGTTGATTCAATATCTGAAGAGGAAAACGTGGTCGAAATAGTTTGATCTGTAGAATTAGAAGAATCAGTAAGAGAATAAAGTGATTCGTTTGTACTAATAATTCCCATATTATTTTTAGGAACTATTGATTCTTTGATTACTTTAGAAACTTTTACTTCCTAAATTATTAAAAAAGCGAATAATAATAAATTATTTATAAAAATAAAATAATAATTACAATTAAGTATGTTTGTTAACATACCCCCTCTGAAGTTTTCGATACTTTTATATTGTCTAACGTTTTTGTATATACTTTATTCCACCATTCAAATGACCAATCAACTGAATTATCTCCAAGCTATTTCATATTTTTTTTTAACGTATATTTAGAACAAAAAAATCTTTTGTTAATTTAAAAAAAAAAAGCTTGTTTTTAAAACAAACATATGATGCGAGTTGAGAGCAAGGTTCGAAGCTTACCCCTCGTGTATCATTCTTCTTAGTAATAATTATGGGTGTTTTTCTTCCCTCAGCATTTTTTCCTAATCCTTGACCTTTAGTCCATCCATACTTCTTTAACTGATTTTCTGCAAAACCACTCATTTCTTTAATTATAAAAAAAAAAAAAAAAAAAATTTCGCTGTTTTGCCAATTAATTTATGTAGTAATACGTGTGACTTTGGCAGGAAACTTGATTAAGGAAATTTGATTTGAGATCCGATAATCGATTTTGTTGTAGGGAACGCCAAAAAACTTCAGATTTACAGTATTTATTTTGCTCACTTTTATTTTAGATTTACTTTTTTTTTTTAAAAAAAAAGAAAAAAATATATACACATATATATATATAAATAATATTTTTTTAATAATGGCATACGCTGGATATGGTAGAATTGTAGCATATTTTTATACATATTCTATTTTAGCATTTATCATTTTTCTCATAATCTTTATAACAACTGGACGTTATCCGGCAAGAACCATCTTCAAAGATATTCTTGAGAGAGTTAGTCCTTATGCTTGGGCGTTAATTGGAATAGGACTTTGTATTGGCCTTAGTGTTGTCGGTGCTGCATGGTAATATTCAATATATTTTCACATATAATACACAATATATTACAAGATTATTTTTTGCGATGGTGAACTTGGGAAGTTTCGTTATGTGAGATTATCTAATATGATTATCTTTATCTATCATTAGGGGAATTTTCATTACAGGTGCAAGTATACTTGGAGGAGCTGTTAAAGCTCCAAGAATTAAAACAAAGAATCTTATTAGGTAAAATGATAACTTTTCGTTCATAATCATTCTTTATATGACAACATCAACATATCTAACAAAGTTTTTTGTTTAATCTTTAGTATTATTTTTTGTGAAGTAGTAGCAATTTATGGTGTTATCATGGCAATTGTATTTTCAGCAAAAATACAAAGTATATCTTCATCAGATTTACATATAAAATCGAATTATTTTACAGGTTTTGCAATATTTTGGGGTGGAATAACTGTTGGATTTTGCAATTTGTTTTGTGGTATGGCTGTAGGAATTACTGGTAGTACTGCTGCTCTTGCTGATGCTCAGGATCCTCAACTATTTGTAAAAATTCTTGTTGTGGAAATTTTTGGTAGTGTACTTGGTTTATTTGGTTTAATTGTTGGTTTATTAATGGTAAGTAATAAATATTATTTTTAAATATATTTGTAAGGTATCTTTGAGACTAATTTTATTAAATTATTTTTACAGACTGGGAAAGCCGGAGAATTTAATGCTGGTTCTATTGCTGCTGCTCAATAGGTATATATTTAATACATAATTTTATTATTATAAAATTTGTATTTGATCTTTCTTTTTGATGATTCTTTAAATAATTTTAAATATAGGTGTATAGGTTTATTTTTTATCATTTGTAATCAAATGATAATAAAAATTCATTGTTTTTTTATTATAAATGAACTTTTGGTTCTGTTATTATTTTTATTATATTATTATTTTATTAATCTTCTCGCTAAATTTTTTTCTGTTGTATTTTTAATAGTAAAAAAACGAGTAAAAAATAATAAAGAAATAACATATTTTATTTATTTTATTAAAAAAAAAAATTTTTTTTTATATTGTTATTAATTAAGAGATAATGTATGTAATATATTAAAATTAAATGGTCTTTATGCTAAGAACTACTTTACTTATTCAATTCTAACTTCAACCATTAAACAAATATGATCAGAATTAAATTTATAATTTGGTAAAGACGTTGATCCAAATTCTTCTTCTCTTGGTAATTTTAATAATTTTGTTACTTTCACATTATTATTATTATTAATTTCACCATTTTCATCATTAACATCACCTTTTTGATTAAGAACGAAAAATATATAATCTAAAGTTCCTTTAAAATATTTTCCATGATTGGTTATTTTTGGTTCAAAATGTTCAATATTCTCTGAATCTATTAAGTGATAATATTGTCCATAAAGTGATAAACATTTTGGTAATTTTTCAAAATTAGAAAGTAAAGTCGATAATGGCTCTAATTGAGGTTTTAACGACGGTGAAGATAAATTTTGCTGTAATTGTTGTATCTGTGTTTGTTGTGATTGCGATGATTGAGACTGCGATGCTCGATCTTCAGTTACGATAAAAGATTGTGAAATTTTCGATTGTTCAATTGTTACTTCATCGTTATCTTTATTAGTAACTGGTGTTGATGGTACATTATCAACACCTTCGTTACTTTTTTCTTCTCCAAAAGCTCTCATAGAATTTTCTAATATTGAAACTTGCTCTTCACTTAATTTTGATTTATTTACCATTAACTGATAAATTGGATCATGAGGAGTTGAATTAAAATCTAAGTAAAAAAATATATAATATATATTATAAATTTAGCAATAACTTTTTTTTTTTATCTCTTTTTTTATCTCTTTAAAGGAATTAATTTAAAACTTACCACCAGCCAAAAAAGCGGGAAAATTAAATTCTTCTTTAACTCTTAAAAGATTTTGATATAATATTAAACATTGCCTAGTACGTTCATACATACTTTCAGGTCTCCAATAAAGATGTGTAGTACAAATCACAACACCTTTATTTTCTTTTATATTTAATATACCTAACGCTACAATAATTCCTATGCAATTTGTTATCATTGTAGGTACACCAATTTTATCAAAATCAAATGTTGATTCTTTTAATTTAGTAAATTTAGATTTTTTCCAAGCTATACAACAACCTAATTTTTTTTTTAAAAAAGAGTATATATACATATATATTAGAGAATTTTTTTTAGATACCGATCTCATAAAAAAATAATAATAATTTAACGTACCATGTTGTTTAGTATTATCACCTTTATAAAATAGTGTATCATAACCTGATTTTTCAAATTCGGGCTTAAATGTATCATTATAATTATTATCATCCATTTCTTGAAAACATCCTATATCAGGTAAATAATAAAATATTTCTTTTATCAATCTCGGTCGACGATTTTTCCATTTTAATGCATCACCACAATTTGGAAATAATTCCCGCTTACATAGTGATTGTGCAAGTAACTTATTTTAACAACAAAATAGAATATATATGTTAATTTTGTTCTTTTGTCTTTCTTTTTTTTAAAAAAAAAATGTTAGTAATAATAATAATAATGATAATAAATTCTCTTACATTATAAGTCATAATAGTTATACCATTGGTTTCTTCTATAACATTAGGTAAAGTTATCATTTCTTTTAATACAGGTTCATATTGAATTTCTTGTGGTTTAGGTTGTTCCACTTTTCCTTGTTGTTTTTTCAATTCCTTTTTTTCTTTTTTAGTAGGTCGATTTCGTTTTTTTAGTAATGCATCTAGTGAATTTCCTTTATTATTTCCTTGGTTTTGTTGTTGTTTTCCCTCATTATTTTCATTTTGAGTTTTAGAATTTGTTTGCTCCATTTTAATTTAAAATTAAAATTAAAAATCTGCGGATTAATTGATAATCGAATTTTTTTAAAATTTTGTTACACAATTTTTATCAAACTGACGTAAATTCTGGTCTATAAAATTGAATTTGGTCATGTTAAAAGTGTTAAAGAGAGGCGATATAATAATATATGCATAAAATCTTTCTTTAAAAGGTTTTATAAATTTTTATTTTGTTAATGCATCACTGGTATAATTATATCGCACTTTAGTATATTAAATTAATAGGTGAGAGTAAATAGAGTTACAAATCTTGAAAAACATTTGCAAAATTTTTAATTGTATCTATGAAAAAAAAAAGTTGTCAAAAAAAAAAACTAATTTTACTAATTTTACTATAAAAAACTTTTTGAAAATTGTCCATTTGATTTGAATAATATAATAATAATAACTAACTGTACTAAAAATTAATAATATTTCTCATTTATATAAATGAATATATATCTTTTTATAAAAATAATCCAATATTATGTAATACATAATGGAACACATGAAATTTCCGCTATCGAATAAAAGGAGGTTAAATGCGTGATAAAAATGTTATTATTTTACATACGAATAAGCTGTATATGAATGAATGAACTAAAAAAATAATGTCTATAGTAATATAAAAAAGTATATATGTGTTATAGCGGAAAATATGAAAAAATTAAGATGTAATACATTATCCGGCGTTTTTTTTTTTTTATATATTTTTTGGATATCTATATCTATACTGTTTGATTATTTTATTTAGCTTTCGGCCTCCTCTTCTCCAGCATATTCTTCTTCACCACCTTCTTCATATTCACCGCCATCCTCTTCTTCGGCTAATAAAAGAAAAAAGGAGATAATTAAAAAGGATTTCAGAATAAACAAACAAACAAACAAAACAAATATACATACCGGCAGCATCTTGATATTGTTGATATTCAGAAACCAAATCGTTCATATTAGATTCAGCTTCAGTAAATTCCATTTCATCCATACCTTCACCTGTATACCAATGCAAGAAAGCTTTTCTCCTAAACATGGCAGTGAATTGTGTATTAATACGTTTAAACAATTCTTGAATGGCAGTGCTGTTACCGACAAAAGTGCCAGACATTGTGAGACCAACTGGTGGAATATCACAAACAGATATTTTAACATTAGATGGAATCCATTCAACAAAATATGAACTATTTTTCATTTGAATCGTATGCATTTGTTGTTCTACTTCTTTAGTAGAAAGTCTACCACGGAAAATAGTAGCTACGGTCAAATATCTTCCATGACGAGGATCGGATGCAGCCATCATATTACGTGAATCAAACATTTGTGCAGTCAATTCTGGAACTGAGAGAGAACGGAAATCTTTTGAACTGCGAGAAGTTAATGGAGCGAAACCAATCATAAAGAAATGTAAACGTGGGAATGGAACTAAAAATTAAAAATAAGGTGAACATAAATATGTGAGTGTTTAGTGGTAACTTTTTTGCTTAAATAAAATTAATAAAATAAATACCCATATTAACAGCAAGTTTTCTCAAGTCACTATTTAATTGACCAGGGAAACGTAAGCAAGTTGTGATACCGCTCATGACAGCTGATACAAGATGGTTAAGATCACCATAACTTGGGTTGGATAATTTAAGTGTACGGAAGCAAATATCATATAAGGCTTCATTATCAATACAGAAGGTTTCATCACTATTTTCAACCAATTGATGAACCGATAATACGGCATTATAAGGTTCAACAACAGTATCCGAAACTTTTGGTGATGGAACAACAGAGAATGTACATAACATTCTATCAGGATATTCTTCCCGAATCTTTGATAAAAGTAAAGAGCCAAGACCCGATCCGGTACCACCACCAAGAGAATGGGTCACTTGAAAGCCTTGAAGGCAATCAGTTGATTCCGCTTCTTTACGAAGAACATCTAGGATAGAATCAACTAGTTCAGCACCTTCAGTATAGTATCCTTTAGCCCAATTGTTTCCAGCGCCAGATTGGCCAAATACGAAATTATCTGGACGGAAAAGGTGACCATATGGACTAGATCGAATAGAGTCCATAGTTACAGGCTCGAGATCTATTAAAATAGCTCTATTAAAATAAATAAATAAATAAATACGATTAGTAATGATTGCAAAGTTCGCAAAAATAATTATTCTTCCTTATAAATTTAAGGAAAAAAAAAAAATACCCTGCATAAATACTAACCTTGGCACGTATTTACCACCCATAGCCTCGTTGTAATATACGTTAATACGTTCTAGTTGGAGATCACTATCGCCGTTATAGGAACCAGAAGGGTCAAGGCCATGTTCAGCAGAGATGGCCTCCCAAAATTTTTGACCGATCTAAGTAATAAAAAATATAGCGAAAAACAAATCAACAAATAACGCGTCATTTTTTACATTTTCAAACAATGAAAAATAAAAAATAAAAAAGTTCTTCTCTCGTATTTAAAAGTTTACCTGATTACCACATTGTCCTATAAAGTTAAAAAACGCGAAATAAGTTTTCAAAAAATTTTATTAAAAATATTTCATTACAACGAATATAAAGAGTTAACATACCAGTTTGTAAATGAATAATTTCTCTCATTTTGATTAGTTGTAATAATGTTTTTTTAAAGTCTGATTTATGTTTTGTGGTTCTTTTTTAAAATAAAAAAAAAAATTAATTTTAAATTTTTTTTTTTTTTAGAAAGAGTGAAAAGTGGGCAGACTGTTATATCCTGAGCTGATTTAAATCTATTTAGGATATTAGGGTGAAGGAGAAAATCTAATTAAGCTAAAAAAATTCTACGCCAAATACGTTACGTCTGTTACGTCTGCAAAAGAAATCAATAATCTAAACCAATCAAAATAATCGAATAGTATAAAAAATTCTGTACACGCTTTATTAGCATTTAAGGGTTTACATTTTTTTAGTAAGCCAAAAAAAAAAAAATAAATAAAAATAAATTAACTTATTATAATAAGTATACTTGATTACAAAAAATAAAAACCATGTGTATGATTTTTTTTCACGCGGTGTAAGGGAATATAATGCAATATAAATTATTTTGTTTTGTCGTGGCAATTTTACACTAGTTCACACTTGTTCACATTACAATCACAAATATATTTCTTATTAGAACTTTGTAAACTGTAAATAATTGTAAATCAAAAAGTACTAAAAGTACTAAGATATACCCGCGTAAAAAGACATCATCAAATGATGTAATAACCTTTTTTATGATTGTGTCAAATAAGGGTAATCTATTAGTTAGAAATCATTGTTAATTTAACTGCGACCAATAAATACAAAAAACTCGCCCGTACGCCCAATGATCAGAGTAACAATAGGATCATTTCATAATATGTCATTTCCCGAATGTATACTGCTTATCTCTAATAATTTCTTTGTCGATTATGGTACGCGATGAAATTTATAGGATGTGATGCTATGCAATGTGTGATTTTAATTTTGGCCAGAACGAATGAATGATCTGATAAAAATGAGCCGATTGATGCTCATCTGGGACTAATGTATTACCGGTTAAAAGAAAAAATATAATTTGAAATATAAATATATTAATATCCAATCAATTTTCAATAAATAAAGATAGTAATTTCATTTTATAAATAACATAAATAACTTAACAGATCGACAACATACATTCTATCCGGTTAGTTGACGCAGTTATGCGTTTGCAAGATTTTTTTAAACTTTGATCTTTTAATCTCGAAGTGAAGCTGTGAAAGACGTGAAGATTAAATAAATAAATCCAAAAAAAGAATACAAGGATTTTTTTTTTAATTTCTCAATAAATGCATATAAATTTACATTCTTTTCATAAAACTTTCTATACATACATATGAACAATTAGACAATAAAAGGAAAAATTGAATTGAAAAAAGGAAAATAAGGAAAATAAGGAAAGAATAAAAAAGAAAATTCTTTGTTCTGGCAATGAGATCATTTTTGGTTATTTGAAAATGGTAAAATGATCCGTGTGATCGCGCATTGGCGCCATTTTTTTCATTCTCATCCTTTGATTCAAAAGATAAAAAGATTTTATTCTTATTTGAAAGTGTTCACGAGAAGATGACTTTATGTTTTTCTAAAATGCTGAATAATTTAATTTAATATTCCAAATCGATTTAACATCAAATATAATATTACTGCGCTTGCATCTTGCATATTAAACTATCCACTCAAAATACTTAAGTTACGTAATCGTAAATCATATTTGGTAAATAATTACATGATGGCGCAAATCTTATTTTTATATTATCATAAAACAAATAAATTTCAATATAGTAATTCTTCCTAATTTGGTTTTTGATATATATATACACGCATATATATATATATATTCTAGTTTAACTTATTTTACAAATTTTTTTTTACCACAATTAGAAATAAATTAACTTTTTATATTTTATTATTTAAAAATAATAATTTACTTTATAAAAAAAATTTAATTAAATTTATGTATATTTGAAAGAATTGCAGATAATCAGAATTTATTAGATTTACATTATTTGATTAAGTAAAAGAAAGATTCTATATTTAACTAATATAAACATATTATATTAGTGGTTACTAATCTTCTTTTAAATACATATTTTTATTTAATTTATTATTCTTTCTTATAAGAAAGAATAATAAATAATATTGGTTCATGAATTTGGAACCTACAAAAAAAGTGAAATTTACCCATCTCTAAAGTTTGTTCAAATCACCCGAAACCTAAAGAAAAGATAGGAAAAGGGAAAAGAGGAAGAGGAGAAGAGAGGAAACATTACAAGTCTTAAATCTTGATTCAAATTTCAAGTTATTTCAAATTTTAATATATACATTATAAATTTTATCTAATATAAAATAGTAAAAATAATAAAATTTTTAATATATTTGTTATTTTTACTTTTTATTTTATATCACTAAAGTTGCTGGAAAAACTAGAGGGTTTTAATAAGTTGATGTAATGCCAAAAAGGTAAAATTTGGTAAAAATATAATAAACTCTTATTAAAAGTTGGTAAAACTAATCAAACCTAAAATTGTTAAAACTATATTATTAGTAACAAGTAATAGCAAAACTGAAGAAACTCTACTGTAACTAAAGATGTAGTTGCAATTGGATTCTATTAATTGCAACTCACAACTTACAACTGCAACTCTAAGTTATATATATAGTTGTAATTTTGCAAATATTTAAAAAGAAGTTGAAGCATCAACCTTAATTGAAACTATTAAAATCTTAATAAAATTAACTATAGGATTTTAAAGAGGTTTAGTTAAACAACTTTATACATTACCTTTTTTTTTATTAAACAAAAATATACAGTTAAATTATAAAGATATTATAAAGCAAACAAATTTAATTCAACTAATTTAATTACAATATATTAAACTGATAAAATAAAAAGAAAAGTTCAAATTAATCTATTATTGTTTTATTTAATATAATATAATCTAATTATAAAAAATGTAATTATATGCAAATTTACTTTTATATCTTCTGAAAATTTTTAATATTTCAAAAAAATGCTAAAAATATATAAATTAATCATTTTATATAATATAAAATTTTATTAAAATTAAGTATTTAAATTATTATATTATAAAATTATTCTATTTTAGTATATTATATATATATAAACTTTTTAAAATTTTAGAATAAATTATTTTTATAATTATAAAAAATATATTTTTATATATAAAAAATATTAATTTTTAATAATAAAATAAAATTAATTTTATATTACCAGTGATTAATTTAAAATTAATTCACTAGAGGTAAAATTTACCTCTAGTAAAATTCATTATTAGTAATCTAATTTTAATTTTATATTAATTTTGTTTGTATTATATTTTATAATTTTATATATAAATAAAAATTTTTTTACATTATAAATGAATTTTTTAAATTTATAAATTAAAATAAAATTTATAAAAAAAATTGTATTTTTTATAATACTACTAATTTCCAAAATTTTATATTTTTTTTTATTTAATAGTTTTAAAGCATAAATTTATTATTTTAATCAAATAAAATCAACTTTCTTTATTAGTTAAAAGTTATCACCCTTCAGATTTAAAGTAAAAATTATTTGCAGATCTTACTATAAAAGGAAATTTTATGTTACATTGTTATGATTTTTTTCCTTTTTAACTAATTAACTAATAGAATTTAAAAAAAAAAGTAAGGTAAAAATCATTAGTAAAAGGCCAATTTTCTATAGTGACTTTTATTATAAGTAAATGAATTCTAAAAAAACCCATATTTTTTATATATAATAGGATTTTTTTTCTATTTATTAAATTCAAAGTATAATTTTACCATTTTAATCAAATAAAATCAATTTTCTTTATTAATTAAAAAATATTCAATATAGTTAAAACTACTACAGTGCATACAACTTAGTCTTAGCAATTAAATTTGATGAAATTTAAATCACTACTATTTATTTAAAAAAAAAATAAACATAAAGTATAAACGTACAATGATAAATCAGATTAAGCTTAATTAAACTATGTTTTTAAATTTTCTATAAAGTATTTTTTAATAAAGTAGTAGCAATTCAAAGTTGAAATATTTTACTATTAAATTAAATATTTGGCCATTTTATTTTGACCAGAATTACATGTAATTCTGGCTAAAATTACTTTCGTTTAATTAATAACTATGTAAATTTGGCTAAAATTATATATAATTCTGGCTAGAATTAAGAATTATAACTTAAATTAAATAAATCTGACCAATAAAATTACAGAATTAAGTATTACATAATATAAAAAATTTGGCCGCTTAATTTTTTTGTTGGGACTAGGTTGTATGCACTGTAGGACCCCGAATAATACTAATATAATTCATAAGTAAACTTTAAGTACTGAAATAAAAATATATTTTATGACATAACTCTGTCAATATTGAAGCTAAGAATTCGATTTTACTATCATTAGGATTCTCTCATCGAGACTAAGGTTGCTTGCCGAAACCTAGGGGTTTAGGCAAGATGGCGTTTTGCCGAAAAGCGAAATTCTGCCGAAACTATATTAAAGTTATATTAAAAAACTGGCAAAACTTTGGAGAAAGGTGAAACTGCCGAAACTTATTATAAATGCCGAAACTGCTGAAACTCTGCCGAAACTATAATAAATCTATAGTAAAATTTTGACGAAACTAATCATAGAATTTTGAAGAGGTTTAAACAAGCAACCTTAATCGAGACGAATCTAATGATATAAAATTTATTAAAATTGAATCACTGGTTGTGTTAAAAACAGGGGTATATAGGATAACAAAATTTTAAAAATACTTCTGTAATACGCAACTTTTAAAAAATTTTAATATAAACTCTCAAATGTGAATTGTATCAGTATTGTTTGGAGTTCTAAACTACTTATATATTAATTTTCATAGGTGTAAATATAATATATATAGAGAAATCTATATTTTTATAATAGTATTAATTTTTAAATTTTTTTTTTTTTATTTACTAACTTATAGTATAATTTCATTACTTTAGTCAAATGAAATTAACTTCCTTTATTAAAAATTATTTAAAGAAATTGAAACTATTTATATATTAATTTTTATAAATGTAAATATAATATATATGAAAAGAATAAATATATTTATAACAGTCTATTACATATCTTATTTGTAACATCCTTCTTTATTTTTTTTTAATAATAAATTTAATATGTGTTTTACAAATAAAATTTTTATTGCAAAATTTAATTTGGAAAACTTTTACTTAATGTACTTAAGACAGTTTTATAGACAGAATTTTAAGTTATAAGTGGTTTCTTGAAATTTTTTAAAAAATTCTTCTGTCTTAGTTATATGACTGATCTTTTATTTTTATTTACATTACACCTGATCTTAAATTTTAATTGGATAAAATTGGGGTTATTACAAATAAGATGTGTAA